TAAGGAAATTATTTCTACTCCGAGGAAATGAGTTCTAGTTAAATTTACCAACGTCCAATTGTAATTATTGTGCTAAACTAACTTTTCATTTCTAAAACACACACACTGCTACTAAAAATCACGAAACCGCAGGGAATGGTGAAAAATTACTTTAAAACCAAGTGTGGAATTCTCGTTTAATTTACAGGCATTTATTTTTTGTTTGCTCGGAGCACTAAAATGCATCCAGATAGATTTGCTGGGATTTATTTAACTCGGAGGTATTTAATTCCAAATAGTTCTGGCGGTAGAGCTCGAGCCTCAAACGATGTTAATTGATTGAATGGGATATCCAGAATGCAACGTTAGTTAATTTCTCTTATAAAACTAGAGCAATAAATAATCATATAACAATATTCCGCATTTACCCGGGAGACAAAATTACTTGCAGCATTTCTCCATATATTACGAGACAAAACGGCAAAACTTCGGGATTTACATTTAATACAACAAAACCAACTTACATTATCATCATATAGCATCGTGTTCAGCCTCCGCGATGTAAATGAAAGTATATGTGGTGTATAACTGAAAGTTGAGAGCGTGGCTGTATATTTGGCTTGGTTATAAATGCCACTCTGGGGCTCTATAAATTGCTAGAGCCATATAGAAATATTTTCGGCTCTTGAGCATTTTGCGGGGTGAAGAAGTGCCATTTCTCATTCTGTCCCGGTGACAAATTCGTTTTGAATTGGATTCTATTTCAATTTTATGTTTGAATATTCATAACCCTAATCGCTGTGTAGAATGAGAAGATACTCCCCCCCTTTAAGTTCAAATATTTACTGCGGCCTTCGCCGGTACAAATTAAACCCGCGGAATAATAAAGGTCCATCTAAAGTTGATTTGGAATCTCCACGTAGTAAAAGCATACATTTCTTTTGAGAAGGCCTGAGTGGCGTGACTCGTCATAGGAGGCTCTCCACCAAATCCAGATCCAGAAAGAAGAGCTTCTACGGTATCGTTGCAAATCAACTCGAAGAAGGGAAAGTAGCTGGCATGGAATGATGAGGACTCGAACAATGTATTTACCTCATACATTCCACATCAATACTATCATAATTTTTCCGGCCTAATATCGATCACAAATATTGTCAACAAATAAAACCACTTGTTACCTACAAATTTTGTCTTAGTACGTAACTGGAAATTTCGAATAAATTCACTAATTAATTCAGGTATTTGTGAGGGTATTTATGTAGCTTTATACCTGAAGATTAATATTTTCAGTTATTGATAGGTTTCTCATTGGATTTTACTTATAGATTTCTACCTTTTTGATTGAATGCGAAACAATATGTGGGTGTTGAACAAAGGTATATTTTTCTGGGTAATACTGAGTTAATTCTTTGTTTTCAGATGACAGGGTAGTTTTAGGATAACAAATCCCTACTAATAGGATCGAAATCTATTTTATTTAGTTTACGAACGTTGTTTAAAAAACCCTAACTGTTGATGAAAAAGTTTGTTTACTTCCAAATAAATATCAATTGGCAACACTTACGAGTATCGTATTTTCCATTATTAAAAATTCTGCAACACTACAAATCACTTTCACACCCTTTAAATCGATGTTTCACCCTTATTTCCACTAATATTTACATTTTCCCGGTTATTTATTTTCCCCGAATAAGTGTGGTTATGGGACACTTGTTGATCCTTTTCAGGGAGCGCTGTTGCCGAGGTTTCTTGACCATTGTTGCTATAACGTTGTTATCTCGGAACAGGTGGTTATTTTGATAGTTTTTAGACTAAAAACCGGGTAGATGTTGATTATTAGGTAATTAATTAGTGAATTTATTCGAAATTCTAGTTTCGTACTAAGGCAAAATTTGTACGTAACACACTCTGAATATAAAAAACCCGTTAAAATCGGCAGTTTAAGCAGGTCAACGCGTAAACTAATGTTTACACGAAATGAATATAAAAACCGATGCAATCCATGGTATTAGTACCCATTGGGGTCCTTCTCTCCCTAGGGTCTCCTTACCCAAAGGAGCAGTAGTTACACTTCTCTTCAAGGTCGACTTACCCCAGAGAACAAGTTGCATCCCCGTATATGTACGTAGAGCCCCGAACGTGAGAATCATGTGGCGCACCTACGTATTGTCCGTCGTTTTTAATCTGATACTTTCCGCATGAGGAGCGAAGGGGTGGAGTATATGGCAAAAACAGGTGTGACGTCAGGTGACCATTGGAGTTTTAATGTAGGGTGCCACCAGCTCACATTCCTTTCGAGTATCAGATTAAAATCGACGGACTTTAGTGCCCCTTTGGTGATTTACCCACTAGCAGACAATATACGTTAAGCTCCTTTTTGTAGTTGTGTTTTTTCCTGAAGAGCAACCCCTAACCTGAGGTCCTACCCACATTAGCCGAGAGGCGTGCGACATATGGTGGAGGCGCCGTTCGAGGAACCTATGATGCTGAATCTCTCTATTTAGCATAGAAGTAAGTTGGCCCCACGTTGGGCGCCAATTTGTTACGAGTCTAAAAGCTACAACCCTGCAGACCTATTTTCCCGGTTTACAGAGTACCTTTCCTATTTTAGGTTAAGCCTGAAACTTATAATAAGAACATACAAGAATAAATAATAAGGTAATAACTTCTATAATTCAAAACAAATCACCAAAGTTTTTATTGGTAATTAAGGCCTCTATCTGGCTATACATTGTTCTGATTGTTAAAAATCCTTGGTATGCTGAACAATACTTATGATGGTAATAATTACGGGGTGAGTATTTCTTTTGACCCCAGAGCTTCATTACGAATCAGCTGGAGTGTAACCATCTGATTTCAGGACCCAGGACAACACACACATGTGACCCAGCTAACTTACAGGGCGTTCCTTGATTGTTTGCTGTTTGCAAGTCTTACAGCGACCCAGGAATCTACCTGACGTGGAGTGAGGATTGAGGGTCCTACCCAAATCTTCTTGGTAGTTAGGGATGTTTTAGCAACTAGGGGGGGCAGTAAGGCCGACTGGAGTGGTTCAGAAGGTACTTCTGAAGTACTGGGGGTTGATGGGCAACCGGCACTCGTGTGTCGGGGGAAAACAAGGCTTCCAATAAGGGGAAGAATGAAAGTGAAGAGAGACTAGAGAAAAAAAGGCCTAAAAAAAAAAGAACAAGATTTTCGCTCATGGCAAACAGCAAATATAGTAAAGAAGTATTTTAAAAGAACTTTAACGTTGCAGAAAATGAAAACTTACCAAAATACTTTGGCCTTTTCCAGACATAGCACACGAAGAAAAACGGCTAAATCTGAGACTTTAACCCTTTAAACTCGCACAACTAAATCTTCCTATAGTGGCACTGTGATGCTTTAATCTCAGCAACCCACAATTGGGAGTTAGGGGCTCAAACTTATTTTTGGTTTTAAATCAGCAAAAACGCTTAGAGGAAGCTCTCAACGTGCTCTTGAAAGCTGCCCTCTTTTCTACCAAAAAAAAAACCTATTTTTAATTCTTTTCCTTCTAGAAAACGTGTGCGTACCAATTTAAAACTTGAGGAATTTTTACAGAATCTATTGGGGGATACTGGTACTGCTACTAACTGAATGCCTGGTAACTACCAAATAGCGGAAATTGTAATGGTACAAAGGAAGGTAGTGCGGAAATATGTAATAGAACCATCGGTACTATAAAGCAAATGTAGGAAACTGTGATAATATATAATATGAAATGTTTAAATAAATAACCCCAATTATTGTTGGATGGTACTGGAAAATAGTGAAATGAAAACTGTTTAAGTGAAATGACAACTTAGTAATAAATTTCTAGATGGGGGTACTTTTACTTGAGGGGGAAAATAATCCCGTAACAGTCTGCGTATGCGGTTAGGGATACGTTTGAAATCAGGAACTGTTTAATGTGTCTAATCACTCTGTAAGTTTACGTAGTAGCTTGTATCTCCAAAAAAAGGAATTAAGTTCACGTGTATTCAAGCTTATCAAAATTCGAGTCGAAATTATTCAAGACTACACGAAAATATTATGCAATACAAACTACCAACCGCAATAACAATATGTATAAACCAATTACACTAAATCATGCTGAATTTACCAATAATCCACATTAATACAGACTCTATATCCTGTATTAATTCAGACCGATTGATATAGACGGTTTAATGCCCAATGGCCCAATTATTTGTCATAAAAACGATTATTTTCTGTTTCTAACGACGTTAGCTTGAAAATAAGGCTTAACAAACCTCTCAAAAAAAAAAAAAATCCTAAATTGGACACGCACACGAGGCACCCCTACGCAGCGGCAAAATAATCATCGAGGAGCAGCCCTAAAATTTCCTAATTTGACTCCCGTGGTGACACACATGCCGTAAAGGAAACAACAATAATACAACCGCCCCCAAGGTTTTATTGCTCGCCCTAAGTAAATCAACCCTTTTCTCTTCGTGCGTGTAGAATAGTGTAATAAGGGGGATAATGAAAACAATGAATGGTAAGGTCATATTTGTTTTTTGTGTTTGCTGATGTTATTCAGGAATAGCTTTTTATAATCACATCAATCTGCACGAGGAGTTAAAAGTATATCTTCCCTTAACGCGTCGAAAAAATAAACCAGTGTCCATTTGTAACGTTTTTTCCTCTGGTAACATTTTTCGTTCTGCTAGTCTCTCCATCAAAGTAATTTATCGAGCTCCAGAGTGACATTTGTAACTGGGCCTGAACAGTCATGCACTCGACCCTATATATTGTAACACATAGTGCTTAATTTAGTATTGCGGATAAAGAAAAACCTGTCTACAAAATCCCTGTATTTTATGTTTAGTGTGTTGAAATTTTACTGGGCATTTGAGCTTAAAAATTGAGAGCAGATATTGTTTTTTTGTCAGTTTAGAATAACTGAAGTTGTTTCCTATAACACAATCACTTCGATAGTAATAAATTCATGGAGAGATTTCCATCTGGATATATTTGGTTTCAATATTCAATCTTACCTTCATTATCAACGCTAAAGAGTCCAATTCCATCCCCCTCCTTGATCGAATACTCCACCATAGAATCACCACCGGGCGGGTCCAAGTCCACTGCACTCACATTCATAACGACCGTACCGACCGGTCGATTTTCGCGTACACTTCCGGTCAACACTGCGTCACTAAACAACGGCGCGTGCACATTTTCGTTTACGTCCACCACGTTAACAGTAACGGTAGCTTCCGAAGACAAGCTCGGGTTTCCGCGATCGTTAGCAAACACCATCAGACTGTGAACTTGCCGTTCTTCGAAATCCAGAGGTTTAATGGTACGGATGGTACCTGAAAGTTTGTCGATTTTAAAGGTACCATCGCTGTCGCTGTCTTCCAAGGAGTATTGAACTTCGCCTTCTGGACCTAAGTCTGGATCTGAGGCTGTTACTATTGCGACAACAGTACCTGAGAGAAAATTAAAGTGATACCAACTTAACAAAGTTGGTATATGTGTTGCACTTACCAGCAGGCACATCTTCTCTGATTTTTACATTGTAATTTGGCAGGCTGAATTTTGGAGCATTATCATTGATATCATCTATCGATATGCGTACAATAGCTTCAGAAAATAGTGGAGGGTTGTCTGGGCCTTTACCTCCATTATCTGTCGCTCTTATTCTAATTTCGTATAAGTCTTGTCGTTCTCTGTCCAAAGTGTTAGCAACTATAAAGCAAAATATATCAGATAAGTTGTATCTGCTACTAATCAAACGTAGCACGAAACGTTGAAAATTACTCAATTTTCTTAGTCTTAAGTCAATGAGGCGTTGAGATGATCAGTGAATATTGATGTTTGTGGGTGTGTGGACTGTTCAGAGCACAATTTTTGGGTTTTAGGAAAAAAACAAGGTGAATCGTGGGTGAATCCCAGGTAGAGAACTAACGTATCATATCAGGGAAGGTGAATCTCAGGCAGCGGGTTAGTGACAGATTGTCAAAGTCTTCTCATGTACTTTGTCTCAGTATCATTAGGGCCCCATTCACGTTGAGATCGGTATCGATTCATGTTTCGCAACGTTGTCTAGCTGCCCCTTGCATGTTGCATGGGTCTTAATAAAACAGCACGAGTTAAAACACACTAATAGTTATTTTATCCAATACTTGCTAGGTATAAAGTCATTATTTGTGCCAATTTAGACAGGTAAACTATCAAATAACACAATAGTGTGTTATAAACCATAACTCACTAGTGGGTTATCGTTTATAACTCACTCTCCTATTCTACGTCAACGCAAAACATCAGGAAATAAAAATTTATAAATCCTGCTTTAAAGGAGACTCATTCCCAAAAAATACCTGTTAGTTTTTTCAGTTCTTGTATGCTGCTCGTATGTTATGATTTCTCAGTTCTTGGATAAAAAAAACATTGTATGCTACTCTATGTTTTCTAAGTTACTCGAGAAATTATACCACTCGGCCTGACGGCCTCATGGTATAAATTTTTCTTGCGTGACTTATTTCCAACATAACACACTAGTACCATGAATAACTATTATTTATATCCCTTGACGATATAAAACATGGTGTCAGGTTATTAAATACTTTTGGTGCTAGTTTGTTGTTAAAAGTCAGTGAAAAGTTCGCTAGTGAACTGTTGTTGTTACGTTGTTTGTAAAAAAGTTATCTAGCCTAGAAATATGGAGAGTTCATTTCGGCCCCCGGAGCCCCTTGTTACTGATGGCAATGTAGCTGATAATTGGAAAAGATTTGTTCAAAAATTTGAAGTTTTCTTGACGGCGCGGCGTCTGGACTGGATAAAAAACCGGAGGAAACTAAAGTGGCCGTTTTCCTAAATCTTGTAGGAGATGATGGGCTCGAGTTGTTTTGACCAAAAAGATGGTCAAACTTCTGATAGTTCCTTAACAGAATTGAGAAAAGCAGTGGAAACTACAGGATACTCTCAGCCAGATGAAATTATTAGAGACCGTGTGGTCATGCGTATTTTTGATAAAAATACCCAAGAAAGGCTCCTGAGTGAGAGAGTCCAAGCTAACTTTAACCAAAGCAATTGGTTTTTGCAGAGCCACTGAGGTTAGCAAAACACAGACCAAGATTTTGCAGAATGAATCTCAGATTTATGCAATCAAAACTAGGAAGTATAGCTTCCAAAACAGTAAGAAAAGTAGTACCGCTAATAGTTCAAGTGGTAGCTCAAGTCATGACCAATGTTTGTGTGTGCAAATTTTGCGGCTATAAACACATATTAAATGGTAAATGCCCGGCATATGGGAAAACGTGTGCAGCTTGTGTCCTGGTGAAGGTTCTAGTAAGCCATACAAATGTAGCGAGAGACAGTCATGGAGGAAGCCTGTACACGAACTGGAGAAAGAGCACACAATAGAAGGAGGAAGTAGTGACAGCTCTAGTGAAAGTGAGTCTTTCTACGTGGACTCACTGTGTCGAGTCAGTTCTATGAAGTCTCGAAAAATTGATAAGGTGATCAGTGAGTGCGACAGCAAAGACAATCAAACTGAGATAGAGAATTACTGGAGACAAGTTGTACAGATCGAGAACAAAAATCAGGTAGAATTTAAGCTTGACACTGGGACTGAGGTAAGTGTTTTGCCTCTACATGTTCTCAAAGAGTTAAAAGTTAGTTCTCTTTTGAAACCAACCAAAGTAACCCTTGTGTCATATGGTTGTAGTGGTTTCAGGATAAAACCTCGGGGTGAAGTTAGTTTGTCTTGCGAAGTCAACAACTGTAAAGAAACTCTTGAGTTTTTAGTTATTGACTCCACTGACCAACTACCTTTCCTTGGGTTATCTGCTTGTTTAAAGCTAAAACTAATTAAAAGATAAGCTAGTATTAGTCCAGGACTCAATGTCAATGTTAAGTCTCTCGAAGATGTTAAGAAAATGTATGCTAGTGTTTTTGATGGTTTAGGCCAGTTTCCAATTGAGCATCATATTTCTTTGAAAAAAGATGCCATTCCACATATTCAGTCTCCCAGGAGAGTTCCTAGAGCATTGCATGATTGAAATTGAAACTAAAGCAACTTGAAGTTCAAGGTGTAATTGAAAAACTTGACGAACCAACTAAGTGGCTGAATCCTTTAGTCATAGTGGAAAAAAGTAATGCAAACTTGAGGTTGTGCCTAGACCCCAAGTATTTGAATAAGGCAATTCAGCGTGAACATTTTTTAATTCCAACTTCTGAGGAAATTGCTGTCAAATTATGTAATAAAGAATATTTTTCGGTGCTTGATATGAAAGACGGTTATTTCCAGATCAAAATCAACAATCATAGTTCAAAGTACACAGCTTTTGGCACACCATTTGGGCGATTTGAATTTTTGCGTTTACCTTTTGGCATTTGTTCCGCCTCGGAAGTCTTTCAAAGGAAAATTTATGAAATATTTGGAGACTTGGACGGCGTAGGGCTCTATTTTGATGACCTTACAGTTACAGGTGGAAATCAGTTCGAACATGATCATAATTTACATTTTGTACTTGAACGGGCTCTCAAGTATAATATAATAATATTCTTCGAAAATCCAGTTTAAATTGAAAAGTGTAAAATTTATGGGACAAAGGACCCTGCCCAAAGTATACGGAGATTGTGTTTACGTCAGAATTGGCTGAATTTTGTATATAATGTAGATCAGGCCTTCCTGATTAAAAGTTACCATTGCACCAATCCTGAAAAATTATTCCTTTTTGAGAAAATTAATTTCATAGATAACAAGTAAAACGCTTGGACATTGTAATGAACGTACATACAAATAAGTGGATTATTGCGGAACTTATGGGTGGACCTCTGCGGGACGAGCGCAGCGAGTTCCGCAGCCATCTACTCACCAATATACTGTTGAACTGTTCAAATAAGACACTCACCTAAAACGTGTAAAACTAATGAGAATAATGCACATTCGAGTGAGTCAGTTTAGTATCGTAATTAAACAACATATTGATAAATAGATGGCTGCGGAACTCGCTGCGCTCGTCCCGCAGAGGTCCACCCATAAGTTCCGAAATAATTCACTCATTTTTACTTGAATAACTTGTCACATTATGTTACTCGTTTGGTAAAGTAATATTACTAATTCCTGTTGAAAGGCAAATTGACAAAAAGTGAATAATCATAATCTTACAAATTTCGACTTTATATAATAAGTTATTGTTCAAGTACATATAAGTGGATTATTGCGGGCGAGTTCCACAGCCATCTACTCCAACCAAAAGGCATACGTGTGTGTAAACAAAATCACTCTCAGCTCAATGAATATTTCTCAAATTTTATACTAAAATTAACAATTTCGAATCAGAATTGAATGCTTTTCAAGATAGAATAGGTTTGAAACCAATATCTCAAGCGGTTTTTAAGATATGAGACTTCAAAGTGTATCTATGTGGCAGGGTCATTTTTCAAACCAAAAGGCATACGTATGTGTACACAAAATAACTCTCCGCTCGATGAATATTTCTCAAATTTTATACTAAAATTAACAATTTCAAATCAGAATTGAATGCTTTTCAAGATAGAATAGGTTTGAAATCAAAATCTCAAGCGGTTTTTAAGATATGAGACTTCAAAATGTATCTATGTGGCAGGGTCATTTTTCAAACCAAAAGGCATACGTATGTGTTCACAAAATCACTCTCAGCTCAATGAATATTTCTCAAATTTTATACTAAAATTAACAATTCCGAATCAGAATTGAATGTTTTTTAAGGTAGAACAGGTTTGAAACCAATATCTTAAGCGATTTTTAAGATATGAGACTTCAAAGTGTATCTATGTAGCAGGGTCATTCCTTAACCAAAAGGCATACGTGTGTATACACAAAATCACTCTCAGCTCAATGAATATTTCTCAAATTTTATACTAAAATTGACAATTTCGAATCAGAATTGAATGCTTTTCAAGATAGAACAGGTTTGAAACGAATATCTCAAGCGGTTTTCAAGATATGAGGAATAAAAGTGGCATCATGTGGCAGGGGAATTTTCGCATTTTTTTAAACCAAAAGGCATAGGTGTCCGTGTGTATACACAAAATCACTCTTAGTTTTAGCTCAATGAATCTTTCTCAAATTTTATACTAAAATCCTCAGTTTCGAATTGAAATTGAATAATTTTCAAGATAGAACAGGTTTGAAACCAATATCTCAAGCGGTTTTCGAGATATGAGACTTCGAATGCATGGTCATTTTTCAAACCAAAAGGCATACTTGTGTATACACAAAATCACTCTTAGTCTTAGCCTAATAAATATTTCTCAAATTTTATACTGAAATCAACAGTTTCGAATCAGAATTGAATGCTTTTCGAGATGGAACAGGTTTGAAATCAATATCTCAAGGGGCTTTCAAGATATAAGGTTTCAAAGTGTATGTGGCATGGGCATTCTTAAAACCAAAATGTATATGTGTGTATACACTAAATCACTCTTAGCTCAATGGATGTTTTTCAAATTTTATACTAAAGTTAACAGTCTTGAATCAGAATTGAATGCTTTTTAAGAAAGTAAAGGTTTGACAAGCTTAAGGTTTCAAATTATATGTGGCAGGGGCATTTTTTTAAACCAAAAGGCATGCGTGTGTATACATACACAAAATCACTTTTAGCCAGTGGCGCACCCAAGGGGGGGTTTGGGGTTATGGGGTTAATACCTCCGCCCCTCCGAAAGAATTTTCCGGTAAAAATATTCTCATAACTGGCCCATTAGGTAAATGGGGATAGATATTTCCACATTTTCCATCTCAATTTGCCTCATTCTATAGATAAGCCGGGCCATTCCTGGTACGTGTGTTAGAGTGTTGAGGAAGGTCCGATGTTCCCTGTAGTCATTTGAAAACAAAATGATGCCTCCTCTTATACCTGTGCTTGTAGCAGTGGCAGTTGCTCAAACGATACAAAGAAGGAAAAAAGACAAAAAAGAATATGGCCAAAGAAATGGTTACGTGAAAGAAACAAATATACAGTGGTACATAATAAACTTCACTATATACGTTGAAACAAGTATTAGTTGCATGCGTTCGGTATCGAAGTTTTAGTACAGTGATACAGACGGCGATACCGATATAGCGATACTGAGACAGACAAATACACAGTGAGATTTGTATCAAGATATTGATACTTGAAACATGTAACGATACCGATTTCAACGTGAATGGGGGCCTTTTCAAATGTATCAATCCCAGGCAGAGGGTTCATATAACAATATCAGGCAAAGTAAAGCTCAGGTAGAGGATCCACGTCAATATCAGAGTTTCAGTAAAAGCATCAGTTAAATTGCACCAGATCAGTATTTCAGAGTAACAGTTACCAATAGCGAGGATTGAGGTGGCTATAAAGCGAGGAAGGAGGCCACATCAGGGGAAGCAGGACCGCATCCCGGTTATGGTTACCACATCAGGGAAACCAGGGCCCCATCCCGGTCATGGTTACCTCATCAGGGGAACCAGGTCCTCATCTCAGTCATAAATTAGAAAAAGAGTCTTTCGCGAAAACTCTTGAAGAAAGTCCTGGAAAGTTTGGTTTGGTACTTCTTTGGGAAACTGGATATATTTATGAAATAAAATTGGACAAGAAGTGATATGAAAGCTTCCATCTATGTATCTGAGTGTTAACTCCTGAAAACTTTTACAAGTGCTTTCCTTGGAAATACATCAATACTTGTATCTCTTTTGCTCAAAATGTAGAGAAATTATTTTACAAGCATCGTGCTACATTTGACATAAAATCGACTATATAACCTACCTGTTAAAACACCATTTATTTGATCAACAATAAAATCCTTAGTATCGGTAAACAATGAATAGGTAACCTTAGCATTGTCCCCTTCATCCAAGTCAGTAGCATTAGCTTTAAATATTGCAGTTCCATTCAGAGCGTTTTCAGTTACTCTAAAACTAGCCAAAGATTTTTCGAATTTCGGCGCATTGTCATTGATATCCAAAACCGTAATCGGCAAAACTCTAGAAGAGCTTTTTTGAGGCCTCCCCAAATCGTAAACGGTAATATTTAAAAAATATTCAAACTCTTTTTCTCTGTCCAAATATCCGATAACTTTTAAATCGCCCGTTTTCATATCGACGTCGAACTGCGAATGAGTATCGCCTCCTAGAAACCAAATCAACTATAAAGTTCTTGTTAACATGACCGCAATATCTAATTCTGAAACTTTACTAGTAAAACTTCTCACCCGATATTCCATAAACCAATTCGCCGTTGAACCCCAAATCCCGATCTCTGGCTTTCAGCTTGACCAATATCGTTCCAATAGCCACGCTCTCGTTCACTTTAATTTCTATGGGAAAGTCGATAAACTCAGGGGCGTGCACATTCTGGCCGTATCTTGTCGGCATCATTGGAAAATCTTCCATTTCTAATGGACCGTTGTTGTTTTCGGCTTCTGCCAGAACTTCTGTTAAACGTCTAGCAACCTAAAAGAATAATCAATTATAATGAATTTTTGTTTTCATTGGTTATGAACTTACTCCAGTGTCTTTGCAATCAAAAGCTCCAGTATCATCTGATAATAATCTTCCACTACTAAAAGCGTTCTTCTTAGTATTTACTAGCTTAAATCTCACTCTAGCAATATCGGCAAAATGAGTATTATCGGTAGCAGTCACATTTAGTTCTCTTTCGTTTACTCGAACGTCATTCAAATCACAAGAAATCGTAATTGTTCCGGAAGTGGAATCTATATTGAAGCAGTTGTCTTCACTTCCGGAAACTATTCTGTAGCTTATAATATTGCCAGAATCAAAATCTATGGCTGATAAGGTGATTATTTCACTTCCTATAGGAGTATTACGTGGTAAGTTGCCTACGCAATCGATTTTTTCAAATTGGGGTCTGTTGTCGTTAATATCACGAACCTAAAACAAAAATTATATTTATAATAATTCAAATTTTGCGTATTCCTGGCTCTTGATTAAGTTTCAAGTCTCAAAAACTTTAGCCCCTTTAGACAATACAAGGTCGTCATCCCTGCAAGGGACGACTGGCTAGAGCCTGGCCCAGGTTCCCTCAAGACATTCGCAGCACGTGGCTAATCTGAACTTTCTCTGTACTCAATAGGATCTTTCTTGCGTTTTAAAGGATCGGGTTCCAAATTTGATGTGTTCAGATTAGCCACGTACTGCGAAGCTCCGCCCCTCCCCCACCACAACTACTCACACATAAATACAACTTGCGGTCGGGAACACGTCAGTCTGCTACCAGAATCGGACATGGAATCACCTCTGAAGATGCTATCTACGCGTGCTAGCGAATTGTCAGGAAGAAATTTCAACTTACGACAGCCATTAGGCCCGAATGAAAATACTTTATCAATAAACCTGAACCCCGAAAGCCTCACAAACTTTATAATATGAATTATTCTAATTTAGTCCAATCAAGAGCCGGGAATAGTAAGAAGTTGAATTTATATAAATACATAAAATCTTCAAAGTGTCCATACCTTAACTGTCAATTGCATCTCAGTTTGCCTCCTGTAAGGTTGGCCCCAATCAGAAGCCCTCACCCTCAAAACATACTCCCTCCTCATACTCTCATAATCCAACAGCTGCGTTGTTTTAATTATTCCAGAAAAATGATCCACTTCAAATGGTACCTTATTCAAATTTGCTATAAGATATGAAATATAAGCGTTCTCGCCTCGGTCTCTGTCTTTTGCATGGACAGTGGTCACCGAAGTACCTGCAGGCATATTTTCATCTATCCAAACAGTCATTTCGGATTTGTCGAAAATTGGGTCATTATCGTTAGTGTCTTCGACGTAGATTTTTACCTTGGCTGATGACTGTTTTCTAGTGCCGACATTGCCTTGATCGATCGCCGAAACTGTTAAACTATAAAACTGTTTACTTTCAGCGTCCAATGGTACTGCTGTGTACAACATTCCAGTTTCCGGATTAATATGGAATTCACCTCCTTCATTGCCTCCAACGATTTCCAAAGAAACTTGAGCGTTTCTACCTTCATCTGTGTCGGTCACTTTTAATCTTATTAGAGGTGTGTTTATGGGAGCGCTTTCTTGGACTTTAACGTCATAAATTTCTTTGTTGAAGATTGGAGCATTGTCGTTGAGGTCTGCTAGTTGGACTGGCACCGACTTGTAGCTTTCTCTTGGAGGTATTCCTTTGTCTACTGCTCTGAGTTGTAGTTGATAGCCTTGAGGTGTTTTTTCTCTATCGAGTAGCTTCAATACCTCAATATTATATTCTCCTTTTTGTCTAGTAGGTCTTATTCTAAAATGACCATCAGGATCTCCATCGACGATTTCTAGTCTGTCAATTTCTCCATGAATACCACTATCTCTATCACTTACGTTGACGATAGCATAAATATCGGCATTACTGTTTTCTACTATTGAAGGGTGACGTCTGATTCGGATTTCAGGAGCGTAGAGGTTGACTTTTTTGACTCTTATGTGCACTTGTGCTATACTAAAACCTAGCCCTGATTGAGATTGCATGCCTCTATCTTCTGCGTGGACTTTGAGTTCATGATAAGTGCCTTCATTATATCTGAAAAAATTTGCATGCTATATTTATGATAAGGTTTTTAGGAAAATGTACTCACATTAAAGGCCTGGTTAAAGTAATGACTCCAGTAACAGGATGGATGGCGAATTTATCAGTTTCTTCCTCGAAAGAATAATAAATTTCACCGTTTCTACCTAAATCAGCATCCTCGGCTATAACTTTGAGAATGCTTTGATGGATTGGAGTGTCTTCTGCTACAGTTGCGTTGTATTCTGTTGGATAGAATAGTGGACTCAGATCGTTAGTGTCCAATACTGCCACTACCACTGTCGTTTCTGAGGTATATTGAACCTACAAGGTTTACATGAGATTTTGTTGTATTGTAAAGGTACCTTACCTTTTGATTTCCTTCTTTAATACTAGCCGTAGCACGTATTTGTAAAACATATTTGTCTTTTCGCTCTCTATTTAATACATCATTATTGCCTGTTTTTATTCGTATAAAAAGAAAACAAAAGTCTCCAACTAATCGGTGTTCGGCTTTAAAGAACCGATCTTTATCTCCTTCTATTATCTTATATCTGTTAGGACAAAAAAATTAGACATACAATAAAGTATTAAGACTTTGAATAGAGGTGTAACGTGCCAAAATTGACTAACTATTTCATACTTATATTCAGTTTTTCAGAGTTAAATTTTGTCTTCGTTTTTGAAGGATTTAGACCTTATATTCTCAATTATTGAATTTATAGTACATTGAGTTGCCTTACGTTGCCTTACGTTTTCGTAAAGTACTATAAAATCGACGATTTCTTCGGATTTTTACATTTTTTTTTTTGCTTTGCACGTTTTTCTCCCACAGTGGATTTTGACCTTTTCTATTTAATCATTAATGAAATGCTGCCCTAAGGAGTAAAGCAAAGATCACCTCACTCACTCCAGGATTTCGAATCTAGACCTCGATCCAGATTAATCCAGAGTATTTTCGAGGCAAATAAAACCCATTCCAATAGTAAATTAACTATTAATGATTGACTAAGTTCCATTGAAGTTACATTCATTTTCTTGTGGTTCTTTTCAAAGTGCCTAGCATTCGCTAAGGTTTAGTTACAAATACAGAATGCTATAACAATTTTTTTCCTAGGGTTTTTACTCACGGTAAAATTGTGACACAATAATAAACGTTCAATTGTAACTGGCAGGCTATTACACCCCAGCCTAAGCCTGCTAGTTGGACGGTTACACAATCCTTCCGGACCGTGAATTTGAACCTTAAGATTGATTTGACCATCTAACCACAACCAGTACTCAGGACTAACCTGGTTAATCGTACCTGCTGCTACTATCTGGACCATATTGATATCGTACTAGCTGTAGTTATCCTATGTTTATTTACCGGTGTGAAGTTAGTAGCCAAAACTTGGCAGCCAATTTGACGGAAACGCCCGAATGACCAGTGACGTAGCATTGTTTTTTAATTCAAAGTAAATTCAATAAACCATACTTAGACATCGAGTCTAGCTATGAAATTGATAGGGTACTATTTAAATATCATCTCCAATCCCCATGCGAAATCCCATTAACTCAAACCCCGTCGAAATATGAAAAAGTACCCTTAACAAGTGAAAATGCATAAATATTGATATTTTCGTATTTTTTCCAACTTGGACTTCGAGTCCTGCCATTAAATTAATAGGGTACTCTTTCAGTACCTTACCCAATCCCATGCAAAATCCCATTTACTCAAACCATGTCGAAATATGAAAAACTACCCTTAACAAGTGAAAATGCATAAATATTGATATTTTCGTATTTTTTCGAACTCGGACTTCAGTAGATAATCAAAGGGGGTTCTAGCACAAAAATCCGACCATAACCTCAATCTTTCATTCTTGACACGTGGTGGATGCGCCGCCGTTGACACGAAGGTGGATGCATCGTCGGCGCCATCTTGTCAAACGTCATGGCGCCATCTAGCGTACATAGTGTGAAGTTCGTAATACAGGATGCTGTAGTTGGGACCCGTAGGGCTCCGCCCTCCAAAAAGGGGGCCCGCAGGGCTCTGCCCCCCCAAAAAGGGGGCCCGCAGGGCTCTGCCCCCCCAAAAAGGGGGCCCGCAGGGCTCTGCCCCCCCAAAAAGGGGACCCGCAGGGCTCCGCCACCCAAAAAGGGGGCCCGCAGGGCTGCGCCCCCCAAAAAGGGGCCCGCGGATTTTAATATGGGTACCAGAAAAAGGGGTGGGGGGAAATGTTTTCCCGCCATTTTGTCAACCGTCACCTGTCAAACGTCATCTGTCAAACGTCACCTGTCAAACGTCATCTGTCACCTGTGATGACGTCATACCGGGTTATTGCGGTGAATTCTTGCAATTACAGGTTCCTGTAATATGGAGTTTGCGTGGAAGGGATTGTTCCGAGTCGTTTCAAAATCGCTACGTATATTAAATTATGGTTCTGTGATGACGTCATAGCGACCTGGGTCACGTCCATTTTTGCATCAAACGCCTATCATTTCGTAAACACGCGTTATATCATTTTTTACTTATATGGTCACGTAAATGTGTGTCGGTGGCGCCATCTAGCGTACGTTGTGCGACGTGTCCTATTACAGGATGCCGTAGTGGTAAATAAAGAAAATTCGTGAAACTCAAGGTTACAGACCATTGAGTCGACGACGCTTAATGTCGGAGCGTTATAAACAAAGGTATCATATTTCACAGTTTATTTTACTGATAAGCATTTACGTTCTAGCGAAAATAACAAGCTGGGACTTGCATCTAATATTTTGTTGATGAAAAAAGGATATTTTCACTGCAGATTAACTATGGGAAATTTAATGAATTAAATGAGTCACACTTGTTTTTTTTTTTTTTTCAAATTAAAACCTATTTATTTATTAAACCATAGGGTACATTGACTTTTTCCAATATGGTACGTTAAATTCAATAATATTACGCAGCAAATGGCAATAAATATGACTACATTTAAAGTGGATTTCGGTGCGATGTCGTTGCCTGATAGAGTCTTATGGGAATTATTGTATGTTTCTTCTTGCTGTTGTGGTTCTCTGATGAGAGTTCTCCATTCGGTATCTCCAACAGTTTCATCATGAAAATGCAGCCTCACCTTGTAACGCAGGTACGCCAATGACGTCGACGACGGTATACGAGTCGTGAAAACAGCTAAATGGCCCTTATCTATTACTTCATAATGCATTTCTGTCCACGATGTTGTTTTATTAGGTGCGGAAAAGTCCAGCATTATTGACATTTTGTGGACATTGTACGGTCTGTGTACATAGAAACTATTTTGCACAAGGGCAACCAAGAGAACATAGTACGATTGACTTGACACCATCATGGTTAGTAATTGAATGATAAGATTCATTTCCACATCCTTAATAAATTGGCGCAATGGTTAATATAATGCAAACGATTTTTTTCACCAAGAAAACTTTTATTTTAATAGAAACATCATACAAATTAGTCAACTTCATCGTAACCTATATATTTTGCAATAATATCATCACACATGTATTTAGCGCCATACTGTTTTAATTGCTGATGTAGTCCATACTGATTCATAAGCACACATAGGTCCTCCAAGGAGATGGAATTAGCCAGATAAAGATTACAAGACTTGACACCATTTTCATATTTTTCCACATCTTGCGTGGAAAACCAACCATTAGTGTCGGGTTCTTGCTCAAGTGCTTGAAGTAAAAAGTACATGTCTGTTTCTAAACTAGTACGTAGCAAATAGACAGCTTGTCTTATACAGGAAGATTGATGATGGCAGCAGGCATCACCACGACGACCAGTAATACTACAACCAGACATTTTGACTCTTCAAAGGTTGCTATTGTAATGTGAAAAATAAAAAGCAAGCCTGTTTTTTATAGTCATTTATTAATACTTATACTAATTGGATTGGAGGGTGGTACAACACGCGTCCAGCTTATCTAAATCCCTGACAATTTTGCCTAGGTTCATAGTAGCAAGTTCTAGAAAGTAGCAGCTACGTTCACATTTGTTCAAGTTACACATGCTGATAATTGATTGCAAAAGATGGCTGCCGTTTTTGACATTGTGAGTTACATTCAAATATTGTAGGCAATCGTCATAGTATACAATGAAATTCAAATCCTTGACTAATTCTAATCTATAATTAATGAGAGGACAAACAGTTAAAATTTGTTTGATGTCGTCCAAACAAAAACACAATGCACAATTATTCGACGTAAGAGTTAGAGCTTGTTCACCGAAAAACGATTCGACATACAGAGTGAAATTCTCGGATAACGCCTGTTGTTGACCAGGCACAGCAGAGTCTTTGACGCCAGCAGCAGTTTCATTCACCATCTTGGAGACCATTTCCAGGAATTCATACCAGTCGAAATCGGCTAGAGTTATGCAAGTTTGATCTTCGGGCAAGTTTAGCATGGAGTTTACTATTTTGACTGCTGGCAGCATTCCTCGAGCGACGCTTAGGCCCACAATCAACTTGAAATTGTTCACCTGGTAGCTAACTTCGTTGAGTAAACGTTTCTCTTGAGCAATTTCCATTCGACTTTTCAAAATCATACTGTCCAAATATTCCCAATAATTTGACGAACAGTGCGAATCGTCGCTGTCTTCGGCACTGATATCTGCGTACATTGTGTGATTCGATTCACAGGACATTTCACGATGACACCGTGACTACGTTCAAATACTGAGACACAAATGTGGTACTTTGAGGTTTATAATAACTGTTACGGCCCCCCACCACCACCACTCCGTCGAACATGTCTTAGACCAATCACATGCGAGTATTAAATGGCATCTTTATTCATGTCAATCCAGCTGTTGTGTGATTTATCAAAGCCTAACCACTTTACAAGCATTTTGTTTCCCTTTTTTCGTAGCACTTGCTCCACGAGAAATACGTCTGGCTGTTTTGTTTTCTGGAGCTCTTCTTCGTAAAATCCACCGCTTATCGGCTGACCTTGCAAGTCTTCCAACAGATACGTCGTTGGATTCGTGATATGAACTTTAGCTATTTTAAAGAGCTCTGTAGTCCAGTTTGGGGTATAGCCTTTTTGGAAAACATGTTTATACTTGCTTATGCGAACAATGTCACCAACCTTGAACTTTTGCTTACCGGCAACTTTGATATGACTATAAACACTATCAAGTATCGCCTTTTCATTGTTTTTATTCACGTTACTCGGCTTCATATGTATCGTACGATGTTTGCTATCATTATAGGCATCAGTTATAGGCCGTAATAAATCCAGCCATTTATGATTCCCATTCAATGTAAATTGCTTGAACAGCTTTTCTTTAATGGTTCGAATCACTCTCTCGGCGA